AAAGTTTGACTCCATTTATTGTAAAAGAAGATTAAACTAAATGTATCAAATATGAGAATATTGAAGAAAGTTGGGGTAGCTACAATCATAGTAAAAAGGGTAAATCGTGTCTTAGATGGTTTAATTTCTGAAGGTTGAGGGAGACGAAAAAGATCATGTGCAAAATGATTAAGAACAAATTTTAGACCATGCTTTATCAATGGCCATCACTTATAGTAGAACATTATGACCACATTAGTAATGAAGTCCACCTAGTGAGACTAAGACATGATTGTTGTATTTTAAACAAATATATAAATTAACAAAAAAAATTGTAAGGGTTGGAGAATGTTTAGGTAAGTAAATGTTTTTCCAGAAAAATAATACTTGAAAATTTATCTACGACGTACTATAGACAGAAACCTAAGGTTTTTCCTGGAGTCCATCAGTGCACATAGCCCCCTTGATTTATCAGCTATTATTGCTTTGGTCAGTCTCAGCATCAGATGGCACTGCAGTGTCTTCAGAGGGACTAAGTAGTCTCGACCTATTTGACTCAGTAGTGCCTCTCAACGATTGATCAGCTGAACCACAAACAAAGAGAAGTCCAAATTGCAGTTTAGTGACTTACATAAATAAGTAGTAACTGTGGCAAAGCACAAGAACATAATGTTTCACCTGATCCAGTTATCTTTACTACCATGTCCTTGACAAACTTGATTTCTGTCTGATATAGACTGACAAGTTTGATCTGCACACATAAATGCAAATTCCACTGTAAGTACAACTGTTCTTAAAAGGTTAAAAAGGAACAGAAATTTGAATAGGTGCATGAGAAGTGAGAATGTTCCCTACTGCCAGCTCTTGGCAGATTAACACCAATCAATATGATGCTCAGAGTATAACAAAAAATACAAGGTTTTTTTTCTGGATTTCATTATCTGTGATGGGAATAAGAGATTCTTCTCTTTAAAGTTTCAGAAATGTATGGGGCATACCAATTCAGAATACGCGAGGCCTAGAACTTGATCAATTTTCCCTTGATGCTTCAACAAGAAGGGGCGCAGGTGGTTCACATATAATTGTTTTGCTCCCTGTTTGACAGCAAGTAGTTTATCATTTAGGCATTGAATAGACAATTGTCAACCATAGAATGTTTTAAAAATACAGACCAGAATATAGTGTTGCAAAGAGCAGGAAGAAAAAGAAAAATTATAAGAAATTGTTGATAACTGAATATGGAAAATTCCTTCGAGAGTGGAGACTAACAAGATACAATATTAAAATCTGAGATTCATCCGCATACAGGTCAAAAATATCATTACAAAGTCAGCCTAATTCTGAATGTATATAGAACTCACATTGGTAGGTGGAAGTTGAAGCCAGACAAGAAAAGCAAACTTCATGTGATAGTACATAGGACACCTGCATGAAAACAATACAATTAATTTTGTTCATTGTGGCTCTCAAGAAACTAGTGATTGTGATGAAAGATGCAACTAATTCCACATAGGCAATACAACCAACTAAATGGATTAGGGTTGAAGCAAAGTATACCAAGAAATAAGCTTGTCTGTGAATACTTCAACGAGGCTAAATGAGCCATAAGCTGCACAAACCAAAAGAAGAGAAAAATATCATAGTTATGATAGACTCCATGGGTTATGTTTTGACTTTTGAGGATGTGATGCAAAAAAACTTAAATCCAAGGATCATATTTGGTGGGATTGAGCAAATTAGAACTTCAGGGACTTGATATGTGACAGGACACAGTGCATTAGCTATTTAGCAGTATAGGAAACAGTAACACTTAAAGCTAGAAAAAAAGCTGACCATACTCAGAAAAAAAATGTCTATCAAAGCCAGACCAATCCCATGTAGTTGATGAGAACAAATGCAGAGCAGATAAAAACCCTATTAATTCTCTGCTATACAATATTTTCGTGAAATGGCTACTCTGTCGTGTTATTTTCGCAAAGTAGAGAAAAATATAAGACAACAAAACACAGTAATACTAAGTCCAAACGTTGATTAGGTAGAGAAAGTAGAAACTAATGAGTTCATCATAGTGCACGAATGAAGTAGAAATTTTTCAAAACAATTCTAATGTTGGGAATAACAACTAATCAACATGTAATTTTGAACCATATGGTGATTAATAACAGCATATCTGTTTCATCTATCTCCAAAAGAAAAATAAGAGGGATTTGGTACCTGCCCAGTAAAGAAGACACCGATGTTGAGCATTTTGATCTTTACTTTCTATTGCTTTGAATGTAGAATAGACAGGTAAAGCAATTCCCACAGAACAGCTGCAAAAAATAGAAACTTGAATAGTTAAATAACAATTCTAACCACAACAAATAGTGAAATTGAAATGTAACCAACCATGCTGTCCGAATTACAACGTTAGAACCAATAGGAGAAAGGAGCAAACGGAGTCCAACCTGCACCGAATCAAATAGTTCAAAGTTCACACATCAATCTAAACCGCCATATAATTAATTACACACCTATGTTTCGAGGTTTTGTTTGTGAATAATAATAATAATAAAAATCAAGTTTGAATTGTAGAAAATGAATAGATGATGTGGTGTGGAACAAAAACCTATGAGAAGAAGAAAAAAGTGGAAAAAACGGAGAGAGAAAGAAGATCGGAGGTGACCTCGCCTGCTACGTTTGACGCTCCGAGAAGATTCATTTCGTTATTCCGATTCCAAACACGCCCTTCCTTCCTTCTACCTTTGTAATAAAAACTAACACTCCATCCAAGTAAACCAAATTGCGGCCCACTAAAACATTTTCAGGAACACCTCAGCCCAAAAAATAATAATATATTGCAGTGGCAGATGATAATAATATAAAATATATATTATTCACTATTTTTTTATAATAACCTTACTATAATTATTTTTAAATTATCTTCAATTTTTATTGTATATATTAAGCAAGATTTGTGTATATTTAATCGAAGGGCAGAGGGAGGGGGTGACTGGCATGATCGTGGTCACCCCACCCCAACTTTTCATTTTCTTTCAATGTAAAACAAATTTATGGCACCACCTAGACATTTATTTATATCTAGGGATAAAATGTTTTTCTTGCTTCTCTTTTACATATGTTTATATTTATATAACTATGAAAGTGATATAAGAACAAGAAGGCTACACAACATGATGGAATATAATATTATAATATGATTATTTAGATCGAGTATATTTTAGTAGAACTTCGTTTTCTAAATTAAGACTTTTATTTGCACAAAAGGTTATCCTTGTTATTTAAGCATGTTTTACAATTATATTGTGCTAAAACTTTCGACTATTTTTAGCTTAAATAACATTTAAAACAGTCGACTATTTGGTAATAGGAGCATTTATTTGGCATGATAAGTAAACCTCATGGGAAGGGGAAGACAGTGAGCTATTTGGTAAATTTAAAAAAAGTCTCTAAATTTTGAATGTCAATACATACTTCATTTAAGAGAATAAATTTTGGGTCAAGAAGAAGCTGCTCAATTGATGAGGAGATAAAGTACTTGTGTTCAAAATTTGGCAGCTATATAATTTTTCGCCCCTTGAAGTCTAATTAGAATTCTCTCCATTAATGAAGATGCAAGTGTATCTTTTCCTTTGTTTTTTAATGGCAAAATTGTAATATTATTGTAATCAAAAGGATACATGTGCTACTAAAGATTGCATTTTCCCTTTTCTTATTCTCTCCTTACAGTCTTATTCTCTGTCAAAAAATTTATCAATAAAAATAGTAAAATTTGGTGTTTAATATTTATTCATTCCTGTTTTCCTTTTTCTTTTTAGTCTTACATTCCTGTGAAAGTAGAGACTAATCTAGGTATAAAAGTCACCAAAATTTGTTTTATTTAATCAATATTATTTTATGTGACTGTATTCATCCCTAGCATGAAACAGTAAAACAGGCCTACTATTACTAAATTCCAAGGTTATGTCAGTATATTTAAGAAAGTAAAACAGTGAATAAGATATAATAAAACTCGTCATAGTTATAATATGTTTTGGAATTTAATAATATTGACTTGGGCATAATCAGCTGCCATCTGTACAAATGTAAGTCCACATGTCCAAAAACAAGACACACAGCTATCAAAATGTTAGTGTCACCTTCTATATACATTCACCTTCTTCAATATTGTGCATTCAAAATGGAACATCACAAAGCCTTCTTAGCATCTTCATTTTGGTTGTTCTTAGTTATTTTCCTTACAATTTCATTGTATGGGGTGATTGCAATAAGTGAGGAGCACCATGTCACACCTCATGTGGGACCTGTGGTGAAGAGAGATCAGAGGAGAACATTATGTGACACTGAATATGGAGAGATTTCTTCCATTGACATCAAGGGTGGACATAGTGCACCACCCTACCATCTTCAGTTTTTCACATTGGAGCCAAACTCTGTGTTTCTTCCCGTGCTTCTCCATGTAAATATGGTCTTTTATGTCCACACAGGTAACCTTTATATTTCTAAATTCTAATTCCGTCATACTCAATTCCTAAACTTGTGGTTCATTTCTGAGGTATATGTGTATACCAATGCCATCACTATTTCACCCTAAATAGTTTCGCTTTTTACATACTCATTCTGAATACTCAATTCCCCCAACTTGTAGTTCATTTCTGAAGTAGGTGTGTCAATGTCATCTCTATTGACCCTTTATGCTTTTGTTTTTTTAATTCGTACTCAACTTAACCAATACATTGTTGTTCTTTTAAATACAACATAAGCTAATTAAAATGTAACCTTAGGATTATTTAATCCTTCATTCGAGAACCAGAAGATTTCACGTTTTAGTTCTAATGTTCCTAATTCCTATGTATGCATTGTCATAGAAATAATTAATTTGTAAAGATATTATTTATATATTTATATTCATTAAGAAATCATTTTGTCTGTTCTTGTTCCTTTTCTATTTTTCACTGTTATTGCATGTAAGAACATTATGGTATCAACAAAGTAACTTTATGGTATCACCGGGTGTCAGGGAGTGGAAGGCTGACTTGGACAGATGAAGATGGAGGTACTAGGAGGACTGATTTACGTGAAGGAGATCTATTTAAGCTCAATGAAGGTTCTGTTTTCTATATACAAAGCAACTTGGAGGCAGAGAGAAATAGACTTAGGATTTATGCAATCTTTGCCAACACAGAGGATACCACTTTTGTAAGTGTACACATGCATTCTTTTATTGAACGAGGTCAATAATAAAATTGAAGTTTCTAAGCTTTCTTACTTCTTATTCATGCTATATCTGCCATTGCAGGATCCATCAATTGGTGCATACTCCAGGATCAATGAATTGGTCAAAGGCTTTGATAAGAAAACCATCCAAGCTGCTTTTAAGGTATCTTTACCCTCACAATGTGCAACTGTACATAGATCATAATGCCTAAAGGTTTATACAAATATTTTACTTAGTAATATAACATTTCTATTGTTGCATAAATATAGAATTAGGCTATGACACAAAAAATGAAAGTTACTAGGAACATAAGTTACATAACTCTAATTTTTGATTTTTGAAGGTGCCAGAAGATTTGATTGAAACAATCACAAACAAGACCAACACACCAGCTATAGTGCATGCAGATTCAAAGGAACGTAAAACATTGTGGGAATTGGAGGCTTCAGTTCTTAATAACTTTTTAGGCATTCAGTCCAATGGCAAGAAAGTCAAAACATATAATATCTTTGATAAAGACCCTGATTTCAAAAACTCTCATGGTTGGAGCCTAACAGTGACCAAAAAGCAGCTTAAATCATTAAAGGGTGCCAACACTGGATTCCTGATGGTGAATTTGACCACGGTTAGTGACTAATCTATAAACTATTAAATTTATTCCTGGTTACTTATGGCATATGTTTTATGAAGTAATATTAAATTTAATTTGTAAACTATAATCCAAGGGATCAATGTTGGGGCCACATTGGAATCCAAGTGCAACAGAGATAGCAGTGGTAATTGAAGGGGAAGGCATGGTCCGAGTAGTTTGTGCAAGCAGCAGTAATAATGAGGACAAGATTGAAGAATGCACAGACACGAGATTTAGAGTTAAGCAGGGAGATGTTTTTGTGGTGCCAAGGTTTCATCCAATGGCTCAGATGTCATTCAACAATGATTCACTTGTTTTTATGGGGTTCAACACTGTAGCAGAGGAAAATTATCCTCAGTTCGTAGCTGGAAAGAGATCAGTGCTTGGAGCTCTAGACAGACACATACTGGCCACCTCTTTTGGTGTGCCTAACAAAACCATTGACCAGCTCTTCGCTTCTCAAGGCGATTCCATCATTTTTGGGTGTGTTTCATGTGCTGAGGAAGAGGAGAGGATGATGCAGGAAGAAATAGAGAGGAAAAAGAAGGCAGAGGAAGAAATAGAGAGAAGAAGGGAGGAAGAGGAGAGAAAGAGACAGGAGGAGGAAGCCAAAAGAGAGGAAGAAGAAGCTAGAAAACAACAGGAAGAGATGGAAAGGAGAAGAGAAGAAGAGGAAGCTAGGAAACAGGAGGAGGAAGCCAAAAAACAACAGGAAGAGAGGGAAAGGAGAAGAGAAGAGGAGAAAGCTAGAAAGAAAGAAGAGGAAGAAAGGAGACAAAAAGAAGAAGAGGAAGCCAAAAGAGAGGAAGAAGAAGCTAGAAAAAAACAGGAAGAGATGGAAAAGAGAAGAGAAGAGGAGGAAGAGGAAGAAAGGAGACAAAAAGAAGAAGAGGAAGCTAGAAAAAAACAGGAAGAGATGGAAAAGAGAAGAGAAGAGGAGGAGGAAGAGGAAGAAAGAAGACAAAAAGAAGAAGAGGAAGCCAAAAAAGAGGAAGAGGAAGCTAGAAAGAAACAGGAAGAGGTGGAAAGGAGAAGAGAAGAGGAAGAGGAAGAGGAAGAAAGGAGACAAAAAGAAGAGGAAGCCAAAAGAGAGGAAGAGGAAGCTAGAAAAAAACAAGAAGAGGTGGAAAGGAGAAGAGAAGAGGAGGAAGAAAGGAGACAAAAAGAAGAGGAGGAGGCCAAAAGAGAGGAAAAGGAAGCTAGAGAAAAACAGGAAGAGAGGGAAATGAGAAGAGAAGAGGAGGAAGAGGAAAAAAGGAGAGAAAAAGAAGAGGAGGAAGCCAAAAGAGAGGAAGAGGAAGCTAGAAAGAAACAGGAAGAGGTGGAAAGGAGAAGAGAAGAGGAAGAGGAAGAGGAAGAAAGGAGACAAAAGAAGAGGAAGCCAAAAGAGAGGAAGAGGAAGCTAGAAAAAAACAAGAAGAGGTGGAAAGGAGAAGAGAAGAGGAGGAAGAAAGGAGACAAAAAGAAGAGGAGGAGGCCAAAAGAGAGGAAAAGGAAGCTAGAGAAAAACAGGAAGAGAGGGAAATGAGAAGAGAAGAGGAGGAAGAGGAAAAAAGGAGAGAAGAGGAGGAAGCCAAAAGAGAGGAAGAGGAAGCTAGAAAAAAACAGGAAGAGATGGAAAGGAGAAGAGAAGAGGAGGAAGAAGAGGAAGAAGGGAGACAAAAAGAAGAGGAGGAATCCAAAAGAGAGGAAGAGGAAGCTAGAAAAAAACAGGAAGAGAGGGAAAGTCGAAGAGAAGAGGAGGAAGAGGAAGAAAGGAAACAAAAAGAAGAGGAGGAAGAGGAAGAAAGGAAACAAAAAGAAGAGGAGGAAGCCAAAAGAGAGGAAGAGGAAGCTAGAAAAAAACAGGAAGAAAGGGAAAGGATAAGAGAAGGGGAGGAAAAAGAGAAAGAAAGGGGAAGAAAAGAAGAGGAGGAAGCTAGGAGCCAGGAAGAAGCACATAGGGAGCAAGAACAAGCCAGAAGACAACAGGAAAAGATGGAGAGGAGGAGAGAGCAAGAAAGGGAAAGAGAAGAAGAAGAAACTGAGAGGGAGACAGAAGAGGGGAGAAGTCCACATAGACAAAGTCAACATCAAGAAAGAAGAGCAGAAGAAGCAGCAGCACAAAGGGAGCAAGAACAAGCCAAAAGACAACAAGAAGAGAGGGAGAGGAGGAGAGAGCAAGAAACGGGAAGAGAAGAAGCTGAGAGGGAAAGAGAAGGAGGAAGGAGTCCACATAGAACACAAAGACAACATGAAGAAAGAAGAGCAGAAGAAGCAACAGCACAAAGGGAGCAAGAAGAATCCACAAGACAACAAGAAGAGAGGGAAAGGAGAAGAAGAAAGCAAGAAAGTGCTGAAGTAGAATTGAAAGGTAACATGAACAGCTTTGAAGGAATGAGAGTTTTGAAGGTACAGAACGTGTGATTCTGTTCTGCATATATTTCTTTGTTTTCTTCTCGTTTGTTTTTGTTAAGTAGTTGAAGGTCTATGTTTCATGAAGCTTGTTGTTGATACTAGAAATAAGATCTTACTACAGCGTGCGAATATGTAATGCTGATCCAAAAAACACTTGTTTTCCTTCACTGTGGAACGTAAAAATGCATCAGAGACCACTTATTAGTACTAGATTACTTAGCTGCTTGTTTCACTGTGAGACACTACTTTATAAATTATATCCATAAAGACTAAAAGTTCTTAATTCTCAGCACCAGGTCCTACATCCGTTGGACAGTTTCCAATTGAAAAGGAAATGTATTTGGATGTTTGATCCAAGCAGGATTGAGGAAAGCTATGTTCCTTAGCTAGTAAAATCTTGGGGCCCTAAACCTTTGAGTCCAAGCATGGTAGAACTTTTTCCTTCCATTGTACTGCATGCATGGTCAAAAGTAGCACGTTTTCTAATATTATATTAGAATGATCGGCACTGACCCTTCCCCTACCTAATAGAAGTTTAACATCACCCAAGTTTATCATATACTAAACACTAGGATTGATATGGGGTTTTGGGAGGTCCTATGAGAAATGAGAATTTAGATCCTCTTGTACCACTTGAGCATTCCTCTAATAAGAGAGATGATTCATCTGCCAAGGCTATAAGCCTTATGGGGATAATACTTGGACATGATTGTGTGAGGTCAAAAAACGAATGATCTTCCAGATGATTCATTTACTTTGTACAGTTAAAAGTGGAATGAAGGAAATTTTTTGATAGAAAAAGAAGGTGAAATAAAGGAAACTGGAGCTATTCATCTTACAATTGATTGGTGCAGAAAATGAAGGAAGGTTGAAAACAGGATGCAACTTATTTTCCCATTTCACCCCTTCTACCAAGTACATAATAAGACATTGTCATTGTCTCAAGAAATTAGAGCTTAATTTTGAGATTTTTTCGTATTACTAATGTATAGTAACACTGCCCTAGAGAATGTATAAGCCAAGCCCATTGGAAGTACGTCTTATTTGCAAAATTAAAGTGTGAACTTTACCTCACAGGAACTGGGTAGATCTCCACCATTACCACCGGGACCTGAAAATGGTGCATCCATCTCTAACCACAATGAATCCAAAGTCACTCAAATTAATAGCATGTAGCCCTGGACAAAGAAACCGGACATGCATAATGGAAGTTAATAAGTTGATATTATGTTTCAATTTATACACCAACTAGACATTAACCTTAAGAACAGAGTTAGGAATAGGGCAGACAATAATTGAGAAAATGAGTGTGCCAGATATGAAAATACCTCATCAGTAAGGGCAACAATAGAAGCTGTTGATGAACCCTTGGACTTTGTACTTGACTGTCCCTTCTCTAACCGAGGGGATGACACTAATTGGAGAAAGAAACAAAAATGAAACAACCTAAAATTGAAGAACTAAAATGATTCAACCGAGGGAGGTTTTTCTTTGGTAAAGCCTGGTAGATGAGTCATTATTGGTGAGACCGTAATTGATAGATAAATCAAATAAGGGCAATTCTAAACAAAACCCTTATCATTGTTGTATGCACGCAAGGCTTCATGCTTGTGTAAATAGCATAAGGAATGGTCCATCAGGGGTGTCAGAAATGATTTTTGACTCTTTATACAGACGAATGTATTTTTATTTTTTTGGTTCTTAATTTAATTTTAGGTTTTTTCTTTCTCCTTCCCTCCTTTTCATTTCTTCATTTTCCCACTCTTCAAATAAGATTTAGGGTTTATTTGCGATTTAAGTTCGGGAAGGAGAGAAGATGAAGACTTTTTAGAGTCTTCTCACAAATATATTTTTTATGACTTTGAATCATTTCATTTTTCTCCAAATTTCAACTCGCAAACGAACCATTAGATAATGGTTCTTGAGATAAAGTAAAAAAAAGGTTTACTCATCCTTTCCACTTTCTCTCTTTTGGTCCTCAAGGAGCTCAAATCCCATTGGGTCATCCTTGAACTCTAAAATTCAACTCGCAAACATACACAAAAAGAAATACCAACCAGAGCATGCTAAAACGAGAATCAAAACTACGAGGAGGTTGATCCAAAACTTGTAGGCCAAGACAATTAGAGTGGGGAAAAAGGTTGATTTTAGATTGAATATGGTAATTTATTGCATCTTATTATGGTGTGGAATCTCAATATTGCAAAAAGCATAGCTAACTGACATGATTTGCATACCTTTCTAAATAATGAAATAATATAAATATAAATATAAATATCAATAACCATGCTGCTAATGCTACTTAGGAAGTGAAACTGAATTAAGCTGCATAGAGGGACAGTGATTCTTTGTAAGGAATTATGGGAGAAAATTTAATGACTATGACTATGCTCATATTCATAATTAATATATTGGATTAAACCATCTACTGCTAGATACCACCGTGTCACAATAACTCAGCAGTCTAAGAAAATAACATCAAAAGTTTCCTGATTTATGGCTATGGACCAACCAAATCATCCAACATCAGAATTCACAACTTGATCATAACTGTAGAAGCCCACAAGAACAAAGATCTGAGATGTACTCCTTAAATAAAATGTGCCATTGGCGCTATATAACCAAGGACACCCATAAAAACATCAAATTCCAACCTTTTGCAACAACAAAACTCAACTCACCAAATGCAATGGTCCAGTGCAAGCATAACATTGAAATTTGTGCCACTACTTGGAAGGAAGGCTCTATAGTATACAGTTTTTATGCCCACGGTAGAGGCATAGATAAATCTATAATAACCCATTTGCACATTGTAAATTGCACTGTTAAATAGGAAAATATCATATGTGCATTGCAGCTTCACATTGTACAAAGACCATATTAACTCTGTACAACCACAACTTCTGGCCCTAAAGATTACTGTTCTTGAAACCAAAATATTATGAGTTCCTCCCAATATCCTTGCCTGAGAACTCTCCATTACCAAAGGATGCCGCCGTTGCAGTAACATCCAGACTGCCACCAATTGATGTGATCAGCGCCGATAAGCCTCCACCAGGAGTACCACCAGCAACCATCCCCAATCCAAGAAAATCTAGAGTGGTCTGATTTGGCCCAAACAAGGAAGGAGCCCCTAACATTAATTCCTTCAGTCCAGAGCCACTGTCACAAGGAAGCCCAAGTCCAAGTCCTGGGGAAATAGAGGCACTGTCCTGTTCAACTTGTCGCTGACCCCATTGCAAACTGTCTTGCTGAGTTGGTGCAGTTGAAGCAGAAGATGAAACTATGCCTAATCCACGAAGTAGAGAGGCATTTGTTGCAGCTGCACCCATCTGAGCAGCTTTCTGCAGCAACGCAGTGGCAGACATAGCTGGCTGTGGTGGCGGGGCATACTGTCGGTGCTCCTGCCCTCCTGTTGCAAACATTGACGAGCCAAGGCATAGAGAGATGGGATCAGAAAATGACGGACCTGGGATGTCCACCGGATGATCTGGGCGTCCCATGGCCCTGATTAGGTCAGTAAATGCAGGTGTTTGAGATTGCAGGTTTTCAGATGTGGTTGATGAAGCAAACAAGCTTGCAAATACACTAACTCCGTTGCTTGTTGTGTTGGTGCTGGTGCTACAGCTCCCATTTAGAGCATTGTTGGCCTGTAGTTCCTCTATGATTTGTGGAGTATTTTCTGGCAACTCTAAAAAGATCAAAACAAGGGAGAAAATGAAGCAGTGGTAATTTTAATAAACATATGACATTAATTGATAATATGGTGGAGAAAGAGAAGGGAGAAGAGCAAAAGTGGCCAGTTAGGATGTATGTAGAAATGTAAAGTCTGGGCCTCTCTTTTATATTAAAGTTTATGAGAAAAGAACAAATAATAGTTTCCTTTCTCAAATCCACTCCCCCTTACCCCCAAAAAAAACAAAGCTTTTCTCTTTTTAGCTTTTGAATCTTCTGAGTTCATTTGTCAACAAAATTGCACAATTTAGCTCCCACAGTTTTAGGTGTTTTATTTATTATTATTACTTAATTGGATATCTGAATCTCATAGCACTTACTCTTTTGTTATGTTATTTATGAATATACACATATGGCAACAAAGAACAAACCAGACAAAAACTACCAAGGTCCAAGATTACAGTGAGAGAGAAACATCAGCGAACAAGGTTTTTGTTGTTTAGTTTAACCATATCACATGACAAAAATAAAATATTTCAATGTTATCCAAACTCAAGTATTATCTACCTGGATTTTGCATCTGCAAATCAGATATTGCGGCACTGTTTGACTGAGGAATAGCTGGAGAGGCTGGAGGTGATGGTGGAGGAAGTGGGGGCACCTCCATAGGTGATGACTCATCTCCGGTTACAGCTTTGGAATCTGAATCAGAATTAGCTTTTATGGCACTCTGAGTCTGTGTAGTTTGACTCTGAGGCTGAGATCTTGCGTTCTCCTCTGCTAAGGCATCACAGAAAGCCCTATGTGTGATGAAGCTATCTCTCCTTCAAAACAAAACAAAACAACACAAAAAAACTTTAACAAAACTCAAATCTCCAAAAACTGAATTGTAAACATTGTAACAAAGCAAAATCCTTAAAACAAAAACCTTGAAAACACAGTCCCACAATCGCACTTATACTCTCTAGTACCACAAATCTTAGAGTGAGCTTTCCAATCAGATTGAACTGCATATTTCTTGGAGCACTTTTCACATTTCCACTTTTTCTCACCGTGCTTTCTACAAAAGTGTTTCTTTATTCCAGTGAGATCCCCCAGAGCTCTTGAAGGATCATGGTGAACGCAAGTTGGTTCTGGACAAACATAGACCCTTTTCCGCACTTCCTTGCTTGACCTCTGCCTAAGCTTCCATGGCAGATTATGACCCCTTCTGTGAAGCTGAAGATTCTGATCCCTTTGAAATCCTTTGTTGCAAATTTCACACACGAATCTGTTTGTGGCCATAAGGGTCTTTGGAGACAGAGCAATCACCTCTGCATCTGGATCTGAAAAAAACCCAAAAATATATAAAGTTTAAAACAATCATTGAATTAAAAAAAATACAAAGATGAAGATGGATAATGATTTTTTCTTAGTACCTGGCATTCCTGGAAGATTTCGTTTTTTCTTAGTTTTTGAAGGTACTGTCTGATTACCAGAGGAAGAAACACTAGCTTCCCCTGAAACTGTGGAAACATTATCTAAATCAAGCGGCATGTGAACCCTACAATTTCTTCAAAATCAGAGTGGGAAAATTTCAGGGCATTCACCCTCTTGATTCCATACCAAGTTCTTGTGATGAATTTTTAATTTTTCTTTGTAATTTGTCTTCTTTTTCTTTTTTTTGAGTTTTCTAGGATTTGTGTCTACTTTGTCTTCTTCTCAAGTCCTCACACTTTCCCTCTCTATATCTACCGGTCAAACTGCAGAAAAAAAATACATTTTTTTCTTGGGTCACCTCGTTTTTCTCATTTACCCACCACTACCTACCAGTTCTGATGATGGGGTCTCTGACCAAAATTAACTTTAACCCAAGAACTAAAATGATTAAGCCCAAAAAGCCAGTGCCTTAAACAACTGCCACAATATACAAGAAGAAGAAACTCTTGCCTGCAAGTGAACTTTGATCAAACATTAGAAACACAAAAAACAAAAAAAAAAAACAACTTTAATCTATTATATAACAAATCTACCTAGACCCAAAAAAAATTGCGGAAGAATTGAGAGGGTGTAATGAGGTGGCGGCGCCTGAATGAGAAAGATAAGGCTTTGTAGCTCCTCAATCTCCTTTTGTTTCTAAAGTTGCTTTACTAACTTTTTTAATGAGATAAATGAAGTGGTGATAAATAAATGGGAAAGTCGCAGCTTCATAGCTCATAGGCAAATATACAAATTAATACTCCATCACCTCCCTTATATCTGCTTCAAAAACTTGCAAATTTATACAAATTACAGAGAAAGTGAAATGTTTAATGAAATGAGTAGCCAATATTAAATATGTAGTATAATCATATTGTTATATATTTAATGTTACTTAAATGTTGTAAAGTTAGACGAAAAAAAGCTAATGTGACTTTTGAGGAGTAAAAATAGTTTATACAACCCAAGAAAATTAATTAGTTTTTATTCTTAGTACATAGTTCTTAGTTTTACTATTTTATATTTTCTTATTACTTTACTATAATTATTACTTCAGTATGCTATTTATTAAATACTAATAATTAATATTATAGGAGAATGAAAAATAAGAAAAGATATAGGAGTAATAATGAGTGGTTGTCGTAGGTGGTGATGTAAAAAAGAGTTGGTTTTGGGGGTAGATCGTGGAATTATTTGGTGAACAAGTTCCTATCCTCCACTTGTTGCGGTAAATCAATGGTTGCAATTTGGAATTGGAATACAACACTCAAGTACTGTTTAACTTCAATGTTTGTCGTTTCGTGATTTGTTTGAATCCGTGTTCTGTAGAGACCGACAGGGACAGACAATCCATACATACAATAAATAAAATATCTACTTAACCAATACCAATATTCAAACAAGCTCACAAAGTCAAATAACTTTACACTCCCTCCGATATTCTTTATCGGAATCCTTTATAATATTTTCTCCAGACTTCTATATATAATAAATAAATTTGTTACCATATATTTTTATTTATTGAATTAATTTAAAATAAAAATAAAAAATGATTCAGATTCATTAAAAAATAAAATAGAATAAATTTGTGGTTTCACATTCTTTGATCTGA